TCACAGAGAACCAGAAACGTGTTTCCTGGTTTCATCACAGTGACGTAGCGCCCGGACACCGACTTCATCAAATTAAAGACATTTATCTGGCCTTGTTGGGAGTTTGTGATGTTGTAAACCCTGAAAAAGAGAGAAAAGGAAACGTATAGCTGAGCTGATATTGAATACAACTGAATGGTTTTGAAAAACAGAGGTGCAGAAGGTGGAGCCACCAAAGTTTGTGATGGGAAGAAAGCAAAGGAACTCAAAAAGAAATATTTAAAAGTATGTATTTAAAAGTATGTAGAAATCCTCCTGGACGACTCGATACAGTCGAAACTCTCCCTCTGAATCTCTTCGTTGCTCCAGATTTCTCTCCCATTTTTGCAGAGAACTGTACATAAAAGTTTCAACGGTATCGAAATCATCAAAGTTTTAGAAATGTCTTGTTTTTACTGTGATTTTTACAGGAAAGTCAACCCTCAATTTTTTTTAATGTCTGCAATTATGGTCATAAGTAAAAATTTGTTTAGTGGTACATGTAAAAATATGAGAACCTCTGTTGCAGATGGAAAGATATAGTCTATCAAAGGCTCATCTATTAAAAAAAATAACCTGAGAAAAAAATTAAATAACTAACTCACAAAAAGCTCTTTGATTAAAGAGTCTCTTTGTCAACCAACCAGGACACATTTACATCTCTTCATGACAGGAAAGCAAAGGTGAGTCATGAACAGCGGTACTGATGGAAATCAGATGCAAACATTTGGTTTTAAACGTACTTCTGAAGTAAAATATCTATATTTGGATCAGGTTGGACATGTAGACGACATTTTGTTCCAACTTAGAAACACTGACAAATAAAAGCCGAGGTGTGACTGAGAGAGAATCATAAATCAGCTGAGAGTGATCGACGTCGTCCCAAAGGTGAGTGAGTTTAACATGACTGGATGAGACAGCTGTTATTGGTTTCATAATGGAAAAGTTATTTGTGTAAAGAACTTTTTTTCTCGTATCTTATTCAGTCATTTATTTCAGAAACCATCAAAGATGATGTGGAGACTGTTACCCATCTTACTGATTGGTGAGTTGCTCATTTCATCCATAACATTTCTATATTTTTGGAGATTAATTGTGTAAAAAAAGAAATTTTTACAACAGGACAGAGAAAAACATGTAAATATATAAATGACGTAGCTAAACAGTGAAAAAAAGAGAAGAAAGAATTTTCTCGTTATTAACTAAAAGTAGTAAATAATTAAAAATTAGACTTTTACCACTCTTTATAGGAAGGCTGTATGTAACTCAGCAGACAACAGGTGAGACCAAATAAATCACCTTATGTTTTCTTAATAATGTCATGAAATTTTGAAAGGATGTGTCTCATCGTCTCTTTTTATTTACAGATTATTGCAACGAACCGCTGATAGATCTGACTGACAAGAACGCATCTCAGTCTCCCAACTTTTCTAATGAATACAGGCGACTTACCAACGCTGAGAGAGCCTCTGATGGGAATCGCTCCACATGTTCTCTCACCCTGATTCATTCGAGCTCCTGGTGGAGAATTGACCTGCAGGGCGTTCACAACGTTTCCTGTGTCTCTATATACAACATGAACTGCTCAAGTCTAAACGTAACGCCTGCCGAGATCTACGTAGGAAACTCTCCAAAGAACGGCAAACTGTAAGACCCTCGTGTTTCCTCGATGTGTTACATTTACATATTCAGGCTTTAACACAATATAACATGCAGGTCCAGTTCAAAACTATTGTATTTTTCGTCATTTCAGAAAGTGAAACTAATGAAAAAATTTAGATTCATTACACCAGTGAAATCTAAAGAGGTTAGGTCTTGTAATTTATGATCATGGCTTATAGATAGTAAAAATACGTGTCTCATAACATTTAAATGTCAAAAAATGAATAGCATATTTACAGACAGTTGAGTGAAAGAAAAAATCAGTTGGGAATAGGCGTTTTTTTTTCTTCCCCAACACTTGAAAAAAGGTTTTCTAGGTTTTTCTGCTTCACTGTTGGGGTGTTTCATTGTTTCTCAAATGGTTTTACTCAGAGCCTACAACATCACAGAGTTCAACACAGGCCAGATAAACGTCTTCAGGTTCCCCAAATCGGTGTTTGGGCGCTACGTGACGGTGATCAGACCAGGACAAAAAGCCATGGTTCTTTGTGACGTGAACATCACTGGCACAGCTTTGGGTACGTTAACGCTGAAATGTGGTGTCACACATTTGCTTGATAGCAACACTGCTAATTAATAATTTTATTTGTATGTATTTCCCATCACTTCTCCAAGTGGATTATATATTTCGTCTTGACTGGATTTACATGAGGAAACTTTTTTTTTTCTTTTTCAAGTACCTCCATTCTGTTATGACTGATTGTTGTGAAGAATCCCTGAAAATCTGTGGAGGAAATCGGGGATCGGTTCTGAATCCTGGATGGACAGATGCAAACAGAACGACCCTCTGTTTGAAAAGTTCATTTTTATTTCTGTCATTTTTTGGGTGGTTGGTTTGATTTTCCTTCTTTGAGCAAACCTTATTATGTCACGGGGCGGTTCTAGACATGGATACATGAGGGGGCAGGCGAAAATGTTAAGGGGGCGTCATTATGTATATTAGGGGTTGATAGACTTCATATATTTTATGGTGGACTATAAAATGATAAAAGTCGGAATCCTCACAGTGGTGTCATACAAACGTAAGCGAATTTCACATCAACTTACAGGCTGTATTATATTCACAGCAAATACTGACAAAAAAAGCCCTTTAAGTCTATTATTCTGGTAGCCTTTGCAGAAGTTTGCAGTTTCCCTTTGATGAATTATTAACATTTTTACACAATTCCAATTCAGGAACTCACCTAGTTCATTTTCTTGGAATAATTTGTTTGGACCAAATGTATGATTTACACGCATAAAACCGAGTAACAACAAATCCAGATAGTTAACGCAGAGCAGGCGCTGCGTTAACTATCAGGATTCAGCGCCAAAAACGCAAACATTTCCCACAAAAAGAACAGAATATTCAGTTCGTAACATTTTTTTTTTCTTGCCTTAATTATTTTGCGATTACTACAAGTAAACACAGCGGGGTTCATTAGCTAACTTAAAAACCTGCTGGACTGATGCTCTGTCACAGAGTTGGTGTGAGGGTCGCCTCATAAACTGATCCGAAACACACCGAACTGCGCAGCGCAACATGCTAAGGTTGTTGAAGTCAAGGGAACATAACTGACCTACTTCCAACTCCCTCGATATTTTTTTAAATTAAAACCTTTTAATAACCTGTGAAACTTTGGGGCTTGTTTTGTAGCTGTAGTCTTAGCAAAACACTGCGCTCCTTTCGCGCACATTTAAGATTTAGACAACTTGACAGATAAAGTCGCCACCGTTGGCTAGCAGGTTGGCTAGCAGGGGGCGGGATCTCGCTCGCGTTAGGCTCGTTCGAATACTGAATGCTGATTGGCTGCTTACTAGCGGCTGAGGGGTTTCAGCTGCAGCCTGACCGCAGACAGACTGCAGCCTGCTCAGCACGGTGTGCAGCAGTACCTCAGATAAAGGAGATGTTCCGTTATTTGTGGCAAGTTTCATTTGAGGGGACAAGACGTTTGTTTGAGGGGCACATCCCCCTTTTGCCCCAGCGTATAGCCGGCCCCGTTATGTCATGGTAATAATAATTGTATTTGTATCAAAGGGTTCTGAGTCTGTATAGTGTCATGCTCACTGATATCATTATGAAGTATTTATAATGTGTAATGCTTTAAAGCTTGTTGTAAATGACCGCTGATGAGCATTGCTTATTAGGCTGTTTTATTGTTTTATCAGAATAAATGGAGAAGTACAGCAAATGTTAGTTTTTTTCATTCAAGTATTAAACATCACAAAATATTTTACACTGAAATAAATGTTCAATTTTTGAAATTCTGTACAACGTTACTCATTTAGAGAACTGATTTATCAGCTTTGAGTGCTTTTTTTTAATGGTAATTTTATATGGAGATATGCCCTGTTTGGTGATTAAATAAAACATAAAAGCTATCTTCTCATTAATGTTGATTAAAGACATCTTTTTGGATCTTTTTATATTTTCTAATTGATCCTGGCATCAATGGTTGTAGATTTTCTTTATCATGGTTATGAATGTTATGTTTTTTTATTTAAGCTGATAGTCAGATGTCAGTTTTTGGATGTATGGATGGAAATAGTAAAAAGTTTGATGTTTTCTATTTTGAGGTCAAATGTTTTTTCTTTCTCATCAAAAATCCAAAAATATTTAACATTATTTCAGTTTGAACTCAGATTTCCACAACAGATTTGCTGAACCTTCTGACGGATAGCTAGCTGCGTTCACTCGACTGCATGCCGACATCTACTGTGAACTCTGGTGTTTGTGTTTTGTGTTGCTCTACACCACCATTGCAGCGGCAGGTTGGCTTCTTCTGTAACGCATCAACTGTGTCGTTTTCGCCTCTGCCGGGTCCGCATGGGCCCCAAGGCGACATCAAATGTATCGCTTCAGTCTCTCACACACAAGAGTTAAAATCCTCCTTCCAAACACACTGAGCTCATGTTGGTCTTTTGAATCCGTAGCCTTGAATTTCCTGAGGAAATAACTGATGCTTAACTTTTTTGTCCTGAAACTAAACTTCGTCCTTGTTTGCAAACTGGGATAAACAGTGAATTAAATTTGTTTCCTTGAGTTTGGACTCTTTGAAATAGATAAAATCAGTTAAATAAATGATTACTGAGCTGTAACCACATGTGGATCTGCATAAACCCTGTCCTACTTGCCAACCTCAGAAAGAAATCCAAATGTGAAAGCAAGAAGATGTGGTAACAACTACAGCACAGGAGTAATAACATCAGTCCAGCTAAAGACACGACCAACACCAGCATTAGGATGCTTTTGTCCTGATGACTGATAATCCACACTAATGCATTAATGAATGGTTGACATTTTCTCATGTAAAAACACAACATTTGGTTATAACAGCCTATTGTTACACAATCATTACACCCAGCATTTCATATAAGCATTGTGAGTGATCATTGTTTATGTTCCTACGTTTCCTTTATTTTTCTGAAAATATATTTTCTTTAACTCACCCAGTCTTAGTCGTTCTGTTCAGCCATTTTCAAAGCACAGATACAACAGTCATACTCAATAATTAAAAATGTCTTCAAGAGTCTTGTCAGATTAAAAGTACCTTTTGAAAATAATAACCTTTTATAGCCATACATTTATGTGTTTTAAAAGTACATTTTTCATTGGTCTGAGGCAATAATTAATTTTAAATGTCATATTTTCAGGAACTATTAGGGGAAAATCATCACACTTAATAGAAATAAAGGATATCAAACATCCATGTGTGTAATTAATCTACGCAATGTGTTCAATTAGTTATAAAGTTCCTGAAATAAATGAACTTTTCAATAATATTCAAATTTACTGAATGAGTCAGTATAGCCAAAAGTATTTAACATGTCACTAATTTTCAAAGTAAATATCTTTTAAAGGTGAAATCGACATGACATTCTTTTATTGAGTCCAGGTGTGAAAGGAAGTCAAACCCTAGTTTTATGGTAAGAGAGTAAAAACATTTTTCTGTTCAAGAGACTAAAAACTGATGTGGTCTTAATTTAAATCTAACTTTAACTCAAGTGCCACAAATTACTGGCAAACAATTTAGTTATTATATGCTGCTATTTTTGTTATGTTTTTTGTTATTATTATTATTATTATTATTATTATTATTATTATTATTATTATTATTATTATTATTATTATTATTATTATTATTTACTCAAAAAATGACCAGAAGAGGGCGACAAAACACAATTGAACTGGAAGAAGAACATTAACTTGTTCAATGCGATCAAAGAAACAAATACAGAAATAAATACATCAAATGAAAATATATATTTATGCTTTTATTTCTTATCAAAATATATATTTATGCTTTTATTTATATATTTCTACTTTTATTTTTATATTGATTCTTTCATTTATTATTATGTTGGATATATATTTATTCTTTTATTTATTTATATCCGATATATATTTATTCTTTTACTTATATATTTATTCTTTTATTTATTCGTCCATGTCCCCTTATTCTCGAGAATCTTTCGTCCCGGAACCATAGAGTTATTGAATTTTCCGTCGGAACAGCTCCTGACGGACCGAGTGACTGTCGTCAAAATCAAACTGGTGAAGTCGAGTTGAAATATTTGGATCCATTTTTTTTTCTTCGTTGGAATAGAATATTTTTTGAGTCTTTTTACTTCTGGATGGAGATATTCGGCAGCACCTTTGATGACTCTGTGTTTTCAGAGGCCAGGGAGCGGGTGTGTGAGTCTCTGTCGTCTTATAACGCCAAACTGTGTGAACCAGAGGTGAGACTATCTGCCAGATTATTGACTTTGTGCTGCTATTTTGTGTCAGAAAGCCTGTTATTAAAATGACTTGTAAGCTTGGAAAAATACGGGAAAGATAGATTGTGGTAGTTCATACTTTCATAATTTTTAGTATTTTTATTTTCTAAAACATTGAAGTTTACACTTCGCAGTTAATATATCAGTCACGTCCTCCTGTTTCTCCTCGCAGTGGTTTTGTGAGAGCAGCGCTCTGGATACGGACGATTCCTTGGAGAAGCAGAAAGTGTTCAAGTTCAGAGGTGACCTGGCTTTCAGACATGGGGACTATCAGGTAACTGGAGTTCTTCAATTTTCTTTCACTCACTCTTTAGTGAATTCCCCTGCAGAGTTTGCAAAACTGAACTTCAACTGGAACGTCGCAGCAAAATTTGCATGCAAAGCGACAGCATTCTGATGAGAAATGTGTAAACTCTTATTTTTGGCTCCTAATTTGAATAGAACAGACAGATGGAAAGAGGAGAAATATTTCCATAATATTTAAAATAGTTGTTTATGTACAAAAATACAGGATTTATTAATGCACAGGGAAACATTCGGCATCACACAAAGATTTTAATTTTTTTTTTAATCAGGCCAAGCTGCTTTACAATCCTTTAATCACACACCTTCAACTCTTATGATTTAAATATGTAAATATGTGAAGTGAGGCTCTAGATGTTTTATACTTTCACTGCACTAATACCAGCTGTTTAAGTTTAAAGCCGAATCATTGCTTGACTGTCGTTGTGTCTCATGCCACCTCGTTCAGAGAGCCCTGGATGCTTACAGCACCTGCCTGCAGTGGATCGCAGACAACAACTTGACCATCAGGCGCGACGTCCTGGAGGGAATGGCTCGATGCTGCACCAAGCTGGGACAAAGGGAGCAGGCGCTGGAGCTAGCTGGATTACTGGTGAAGTTCTTTTCCTGCAGGTTTTTCCTAAGATTACCTGCTGTAATTATTCACAAAAAAAAAAAAAATCTCTGAATGATCATGGGGTTGGTTTCGATGATTTAAGTCAAGAACTGTCATAAAATACAATACATTTTCATAGATTATGAAAAAAACATCTTGTGTAAAATAAGATCAGATGTCTCCTGTAGTAAACAGCGTTCCTCACACTGTGTCCATTTCCTGCAGAACAAAGACTCCTCCAACACCTGCCACCTGACCAGCCTCCTGCTGCTCAAAGTCCGTATCAAATACAACCTTTTTGTTCATAATTCAGATTGGTGTGAGTGCTAACTTTAAATCTGAACACGTCCTGAAGGTCAGCATTTACCAGCACTTTGGCTGTGTGGGGCCTCAGATGTCCTGCCTGCAGCAGCTGTGCAGCCTGCTGCCCTTTAACCCCTGGCACTGGTTCAGCCTGGGTCAGACGTGTTTACAGTTGCTGGACTGCAACTCAGACATGGGTACAGCGACCTTCTGTAGATAAAAAATATTTTAATCTACATATATTTAGCTCAATATATATATATATAGACTATGTGCTTCTGTGTACCAGAACGTTCATCAGAGGCTCTGAAAGGAGAGTCTGAGGCGGACCAGGAGGGGGCAGCAGAGCTCACTGAGGACCGGGTCTGGCTGAGAGCTTGCATGTGTTTCATCAGAACACGGTAACGCTTTCTGATGAAGCTGCTGCTTTAACACAGGCTAAATCACACCCAGCTAACGGGACATTAACCTAGGGCTGGACGACATGGCTGAAAAACATATCACAATATAAGCATTTCATATCAGTCGATATTGATAATCATTGATTAGTTTTGTATGTTTTCATTCCACGTCAGTTGTGAGTCACGGTGGGGAAGCCTTAAAATGCTGCTGCCAAGTTACTCAACAGGTTGTTGCTAGGTAACCAGAGTGAGTTAGTTAGTTGATACCACCAATCTTGCTTAGCTGGCAAAGCCAGCCTACATCCCCCAGAATGCTGTGCGGTTCTGGATTGGAATTCAGCAAAATGATTGAATATTCTATCAGTATTATCTATTGATATTGATCACGTGTCTATCATGATGTATATTGTTATTGATTTATTGTCCAGCCCTACATTAAACACATAAATACAACCTGAAAACAAAGTCATTTATTATGTAGCAGTTAAACATTTCTCCACACAGCAGCAGACGACATGAAATGACAGGTTTCCTTGGTTTTAGTCTTTATGTGTAAATCATACACCTATTTTATGCGTTTTTTTCTTAAAGGCTCCTGTTGAGAATCCTGCGCCAGCAGCAGTCCTCCTTTGTGTTGCAGCGCAGTGAAAAGACTCTCCGGATCACAGAAGAGGCGCTGCAGCGACTAAATCCTAAAGAAGCGACGCTGCAGGCTCTCACCGAGGTGAGCGGGACGAGTTTTCACTTCATTCTCAGAGAGTCTAGACTCTGCTTCTACTAGAACCTTCTGCTGCTGCTTTGATGATCCAGGTGATGTCAGAGGACCTGATCCCAGAGAAGATGAGGGAGGACTACCAGGACGGGGAGAGCCTGACCTCGGTGTGCTTGCAGAGCTTCAGAGAGCGTTGGTGGAGCAGCGTTTCACTGGCCGCAGCGTCACAGACTGATGGACCTCAGGCTGAACCTTAATGCTGCTGGAGTCCATGTTTGCAGCCAAACTGGCAGAGGATTTCAGATCACGCTGAAGATGCTTCAAACAAATATTTGTTGCAGATATAGCAGTGTTGCAGTATATTTAAGTTCTTTTGTTTTTGTTTTTTTGGGACGACCAAAGAATAATGTGTTGCCAGTAAAAGTAGCTATAAGTATTACATGTGTAACATGTTGTGCTCTGTGTAAACAGGTTTGTTTATATTTTAATATCCGTGTCTTTTTATTTCTTCTTTTCTTCAAAATGGTTATATGTTCTACAAATTAATAAATGTTTATTTTTACAACATATTTTGTCTAAAATACTACATTTAAGTTCTTCATCCTTTTAGAAAATGTTATCAAAAACAGGATTCAGATGTTTTGAGAAAAGTTGACATTTCTCTGTGAGGTGCCTTCAGATGACATTTGTAAATTAACTGAATTGGATTGGATTTAATCACGTTTGTCCTCACAAACACTAAATGAGATGAGTAACTCCAGCCTGGGAGGTTATTTAATATTTAATATTGAAGAGGAAAACTCGACACAAAAGAATCATTTTAGTAGGAAAACCAAGTCATGTTTATAACAGACCAGAAAGGCCATTCAAAGTCGTGGGAACTGACATGCCGTGTCGTGTTGAGTTACTTTTGAAAGACGGAATCAGATAATCTGTCAATTTTAAAAGATAAAAGCTGAACCAGAAAAGCAGTGCTTTGCAAATCGATTCATTTCCACTGACGGTTTCCCAGCTTTTCTTGCTTTAAAGCCAAAAGCTTATTCCCTTTGGGATTTTATGTGACAGACAAAGTAAAATGGAAAACTAACAAGTGGAAACTAAATCTTTTTTCCTCCCCTAATTAAAAATCTGTTTAGTTTGGCAGACATTTGTACTGCTTCCCTTTAGTCAGTACAGTGAATGTCTGGAGATGGACTTTTTTTTTTTTCATCAATTGTTTTGTGAAAAAATAATCTTCCTATCAGCTCTAACCAGCTTCCTTGTTGCTGTCACAGAAAGCCTGATTCTGCCACTACCGTGTTTCACCATGTGAATGGAGAATAACGTGGTGGAAAACTAACGCTATGTGTTATGTGGCGTCCAAAGACCTTTGGTTGCAATGGACTCTATCCAGTGGTATCAAAGTAAAGGGGCAAAGAAGAAATGGAGCATTTTCTTTTTTTTTTCTTACGTTTTTTATTGCATTTTGAAAATTACGTACAATTTCTCTTTGATTTCAGATTTCTGCATTGCTTTGTTTTTGGGCTGCGTCTTGTCCACTGATTGAATCTCTCAGTCCAGTGGAGCTCTGTTAATGCATGGGCTTTTCATTAAAACTGTGGATGTATTGATACAGGGTGAAGTCCTGCTCCTCTGTATCCTGCTGGGCTTCTCTCCGTCAGGCTCAGGCTCCTTCGCAGCGACGTGCTGCTGCTGCTCTGCAGGGTTCTCCAGCCTGCCTGCCCCGTCTCATGTGCACCGCTGAAGGAGTTGTAGCGAGCCATCGCTCCGGGTCGCGCAGCCTCCTGTGGGCTCCAGTGCAGTCTGACGTGATGCGGTTGCATCGTGGCCCGTAATCCTGACAGGAACCGCTTGGACTCCGCCTGCTGCTGAGGACCGAGAGCGGTTCCTGTTCCTGTTGGTGCTGGTCTAAAGCAGGAGGTCACTGTGTGAGAGGACAAGTTCAGACGACCCTGATGCCGGTCCATGAACCCTTCCTGCTTGTTGGTTCCTCTGAAGGCGTTGGGTTGGAGGTTGGGCATGTACTCCCTGGAGCTCCTGAAAGAGACCTGACGGCTGAAGTTCGGTCGTGTTTTCTGTGACGACGGAGGTGAGAGGAGTTGAGGTTGATCACACTGAAGTTCCACCTTAGCGTGAGCAATTCGTGAGGAATCCGGTTGGTCTCTTTGTGCTTGGATGTCTGGTGTGAACCCTGCCGACGTGTTTCTGTTCCTTTGCTGAGCGAAAACTCCTTCGCTGCTCCCATCTGGGAGAGCGAGGCTGTTTTGCTTCCTTAAGCCTGACTGACCGTGAACATTTTGCCGTCCGTGTGTTAGAGACAGATCGTTCAGATTGCGCGGCTCTTGGACCTCGGCATTCTTCTTCACGGTGGTGCTGAGAAGCTGAACATCTGAGAAGGTCTGATCGGGAAGATGAGGGCGACCGTGAATCTGGTTCTGATTCTGCAGCTCCGTCTTGGCTCCTGTCCCACTTTCTGCTGCTGTTTGAACCGAAGGCCACAGAGGCAGATGTGGACGTATTTTCTCTATGGGCTGCTTATCGCCTTGAGGAGGCTGTAGACTAATCTCTCCAGGTGAACATGCTGCTGTCACAGTCTTGTGGGATTTCCAGTTACAGCCATTTGGATGCTCATGAGATTGGGAGTAAAGGCAAAGACACTGTGGCAGAGAGATGAAAGTGACAAATCCAGGGACCGGCTTGGAGCTGGAGTGAAGCCTGAGGAACTCCTGATGGAAATGTGAGACCGAGGAACCTTTGATGAGAACCAGAAGACTCTGATGGACCATACTGGACAGCCATGTGAAACTGAGGGAGAAACCAAAAACAGGAATACATCATAGGAAAGAGTTATACAATAATGGAAGCATTAATGGAGAAACAGAAAACGTTTTCTGGAAGCGGCATCCTGCAAAGACACTAAATAATACCAAGTATTTTTGCCTAGTTTCCAATGTAAATATCTTAAAGGGGCAGTATTTTGTCTTTTCTGGACACATAATGCTATTTTATAGCACAATCAGGTAAATCAAAGGCTGCTCTGTGAAGCGGAAGCTCGGAAACTTGGAAAGTGCAGGTCTGAGGAGGAGCTTGGTGCACCCAGGTGTTTTGCACAGCTGAATGGTTCCCACAGGCGATTCAAGGATTCCTCAGAGGTGCACGAAAGAGTCAAGGCAACACTCTAGGTTTGTTTTTGATGAGTAATGACATTATAACATGATGTAAGTAAAGCTCACTTATAAGAAAACATTTTTCCCATGTTACAAGGGAAAAAATCTGCCAGATTAGCTCCTACATCATGCTAAAAAGTTACTTGTTAAGTTAGTTTTTGTCTCACTTAAAGTGTCCTAAAATATTTGCACTAGAAACTGGACCACAAATACTTGGCGAAACTGGGTGTGTTTTTGCAGTGTGTGTGTGTGTGTGTGTGTGTGTGTAGATGTACCTGTATGTACCAGTCAACACCTCATCCCAGTCAGCGATGATAAAACTCTCCGCTATCTGACCTGTCAGCTTCCTGCCCGTCTTTGCGCTGTAGGTCTGACCTGGGACGCTTCGCACCGACACCTTCTGTACACACCAACACACACTAACTATCACAAACATGCAGCAGCAAATTTTCTTCTCACTGTCTGAAGCCAAATAAGTCCAGCTTTTTTCTTTTTTTTTGTTTTTTTTTGTTTTTCCCGTTTTGAAAATACTTACCGGGAAGTTTCTGCTGATGAGTTTGAGTTCCTGCCACATGCTGACAAACCCCTCCAGGTTAACGTGGTCCAGCAGGAGGTGAACAGACACGTTTCTCTTCCTGCTCGCCTCGAGAAGATCACACAGCAGCTCCGGGTCACTGAAGGCGTCCATCACTACAGCCAAGACCTGAATACACACACACACACACACACACACACACATACACGCACCCACACTGTCACCCGCATGCCTGCCAACTGTGTGGTACTACAGCAACAGGGATTCATGTCACACAAACACACCTCCTATCGTACCAGTTTAGCCTTTCGGAGGAACTGTCTGACCAGATCCTTCATGGCAGCTGCAGTCCTATCAGACTGGAGAAACACCTCGGGGCTGGGATCTAGGGCTGAAATGATTAATCAGATTAATCGTGATGAATCGATTACTGAAATAATCGTCAGCTTATTTAGTTATCAATTAATCGCTAACTGGAGAATACAGACTCAAAAGATGCCATTTGCTGGAAAAAAAAAAACACAGCTACATATTCAGAGCTGTAATTAAGCCAAAACTCTATAACATACATTTATATTTTGCATTTAAAATGACAAAAGCTTTTGTCTGCATAGTCTAAGCTTCACCAGATTTAAATTCACTTTGTTGCTGCATTAATGTTTATTTTCTTATTTAAAAAAAGGAAGTGAAATATTTACTTATATTTTCAAATTTTAATGTATTTTGAATATTGTATATAAAAGGCTTAAGTGCTTAAATAAAAAATCTGTACAATGTGCTAATTTTTTGTACACGATTAATCGTCAGAATAATCGATAACTTTGCAGCCTTACTGGGATCGTCCGACACAGCAGCCAATAATTTCCCATCTGTGGAGTCAGAAATTGGAGCCTGAAGAAATTGGCTTTCAGACAGACAAGACTGCAGTAAAGTAATTTAATACCTTTATCGATCTTCTGGTCCAAACACTCCACTGTGGAGTCGCTGCTCGTTTCGGACTCACAATGGGCAAACAGGTTGACAAACTCTTTATCCATGTTGTCTATTTCATCTGCATCATCTGTTAACAACACAAGACAGTAAAAAACTGAAATTACAAAAAAAAAAAGAGGAAAACATCCAACCTGTGTTTGCATCTCTCCCGTTTTGTAGGACGTAAAGCTTCTCCAGCTCTGACAGGAAGTCCACCTCCCCCTCTGCCTGCAGCACTTGGCGGTATCCGTCCAGGCCCTGGGACAGCAGGCAGTCGGCCGCTAACCGCGCGCTCTCGTTGTGGCTCAGGTCCGGTTTGGTTCCGCTGGTCGTACAGGGGCAATAATTAGAGGACGAGGGGATGCGAAGGCCCTGAACCCGCCGCCTCACCTTCCCCACAGGCTGGAACCTTCTGTATGACAAAACTGAGATGTTGTTGGATCCGTCCATGGTGGAGGAACTTTGATGAAGGTTTTTCTGGCTGGAGGAACGGTTCTGATTCGAACAGCTTCAGTCTGGATCAGCATAATAAGGGAAGAACTGCATCCGCGGTTCTGCTGCAGCTGTGTGGGAGAACTGCTGGTGTGGAAAGACAGGTAGACCCGCCTCTGCTGAGAGCCAGGTGATTTCCTCAACATGATGAGATGTGACAGGTGAGTTTATCACACACAGCACTTTGCAGAACTATTCACCATCCTCAACTTTTATCTCCGTTTTTGGTATTTTACTAGTAATCGTTACCATCATTGCTATTTGACAGTAAACATAGTAATGATTAGTTTCGTTACTACGGTAGTAATTATATATATATAATAGTAAATCAACGCTCAAACATTCTCAATTAGATTTAGCTCTGGACTTTAACTACACCATTTTGACACAAGTTGTTTTTCTTCTTAGCTGTTCCATTTAGTTCTGTTCTGTATGTTTAGGGTTGATATCATAATGGAAAGTGAAACTCCCATCAACTCTGATCAGCTTTCCTGTCCCTGCAACAGGAAAAAAAAAAACTCCCCACAGCATGATACTTCCAACACCATGTCTCACAGTGGAGACAGAAAACACACATGACATTTTGGATTTAGGTTTAAAAACTAGATATTGGTCTAATCTGGCCACAGTATTTGTGTCCAGTAGAGCCTGTGGCAAACTTTAAACTGGACTAAAGGTTTTCTGGAGTTTTTTTCTTTTTGCCTCCCTAATCTGCAGATTTGCAGCTGCGCCAGACTCTTTTAAACTTTGGGTAAAATACTGGGCTTTTTTTTTTTACGTGAGATGGTTAAAGCTTGGGAAATTGTTTCATAAATCAACTCTGCTTTCAAATTGACTTTCTTCTGGCCTGTCTGAGGTGTTCCTTGGTCTTTGTGATGTGATTCGTTTTCTAAGAAAACATCTGTAGTCTTCAAAAAAACAGCCACAGAATGTCATAGTCATGTGCTGCTTTGTGTTGCTCGGTCACATTAATAATGAAATAAATTAAAGTTTGTGGCTGAATCCTGACAAATTGTGTTGTTCAGGAAGTATGCGTGCTCTTTTAAGGTTCTTAAACAGTTAAGGATCCTGAAGTTAAAAAAAATAGAGAGGAATGTATGTCTATGTGTAATTAAATGAAAGAAACACAGCACTGCCTGTTTTCTTCCAGGCAGTAGGAAAACATTCATGATGTGGTTAATAGTTCAGCACAGCAGATGTAGAGTTTTGTTCCCAGGCCTGAGGCAGCTTGATGGGCGCAGGAACGAATGAGTGACTGGAATGAAGATGGCTGTCACTTCAGCTCCTGTCAAAGAGCAGCTGATTGGCTTTTGGTTCAATGGTAGACACACCTAGACAGGGATTAGGAGCAGAGACACAAACGCACAGCCAAGGCTGTTTCTTACACTGATGATGACACATTTAAGCAGATCTCCAGCTGACATGCATCTGTTTTCGACTGTCTTCAATGCAGTGATTTTTTATTTTTTTTTTACCTTTTTGGAGGTTTTTCTGCTTTGGTTTTGCTTTGCATCGATGCCACTTGTCAGCTTTAAAAGTTAAACATGAGTCTTTGCAACACGTTCAGTAGATAATTGTAGCTTTTCACTGCCCTGCCAAAAGGAGGATGCTTTGGTCACGCAGTGACTGCTTTTGAAAAAATGCCTAGGTGGTGTATTTTAGGTCAAATGTGAGTAAATCATTATAAAATGTATCAAGATGAGATAAATGGGAATCAAAAGTTACCATAAAACAGACAGAATGCTGGCGGCTTTATCAAAAATGGCTTTAAGCGAGACAAATATAAATAAAAAAAAAACATCTCTGATATAATAAAGATAATAAAAGATCAAATTAAAGCACTGGTGCTCTTACCAAAGAAAATATAAAAATAAGTAAGTAGTAGTTACGGCCACTTATTTGTGTCTATGGTTACAATGGCTGCAAGAGTTCATGCTGCACCGTTTACTGCAGCAGAAATCAGAGTGCTCATTGTGCCCCTAATTTATATTCCTGCATTTAAAGTTGTTGCTCCTTCCTCATCAGAGGGTTTCAGTCTGTATATTACGCACGCCGAGGTCACAAGTACAGAAAATACCGGAGAAGTTCAGAGTGAGAAGACGCTCTGGTGAGTAGGAAGTGGAAATCAGACATTCAAACGCAGCACCAATCTGACACCGCTCCACTTGATCCATCTGGACTGTTTGTTGAAGCACTTCTTAGTTTTTTTTTGCTGACTAAGGACTTTTCAGAGAGCAAAGACAGGAAAAGATGCAGGAATGGCGTCAGGTCACATTTGTCTTTTCATCACAAAATGTTTCCCAGAACTGAAATAAATTAAACTTCTCACTGCGCTCAATGATGCTGTTAAAGAATCTTCTCATGCATGAGTTCATCTGCGCAAAGTAAAACCTCAACCTGTCTGAGATGGAAGGGCGGATGGTTCATAAACACGCAGCAGCCAGTCAGCACGCTCCACGGTCTGAGTCACTGTTTGTGTTTTGCTGCAGTGAGCTTAGGTTCAGAATATGTTTCCTTAAACGGGCAGACGACAGAAGGCAGCTGGTGGTCACTAGGACACAGAGGACGGCGTGGGCACAGACGGTGAAGAGGGCGAGGTGGACTCTCTGGCTCGCGCTGCCAGCTTCTGTCTCAGCTCCCTGATTTCCTTCAGCAGCTCCCTCTCGCTGCTGTCCAAGAGGGCCCGGCCACGGTCCAGGGAGACTAAACAGGACGCAAACAGAACCCTTAATTACTATTAAATAATTATTACCACACAAAAACACTGAAGAAGTGAACTAAAATGTATTTAATGTAATGAGTTTTTACTGCTTAAACCGACTCACAGCTGGTAGAGGAGCTCCCTGAAGGTGAAGTGCTGTTCAGACACACCATGCTGGCGCTTTCCTGCCTCTGGGGGGCGGCAGAGCTCCTCGCTGTGGCTGTATTTACACCTTTAGCTGCAACAAAAGCAGCAGGTCTGTGAAGAAGTCTCTCTCCTTCTGAGACAATAAAAAAAAAAGACCAGATTAGATCTGTGCAGTACAGGTTTCCTGGACATCATTTATGTTAAAATTCAGAGGTGAGAGTTTTTTATTATGGTAAAGAAGAATGAAATCGGTTAAACACATTCTAAATGTTATTTGAATTAATTATTCGGAAATGTTCTAATTTAAAATCCTGTAATGGCAGAAGTGAGTGCTTCTTTATCGATTTTGTGCAATGCAGAGCATTTCTGTGGTAGTGACTGGCAAACAACTTGATACGACACTGCCACCTTGTGGTAGGGAGCAGTCTGAGCAGAAACAAGGCAGGAAAATGAAAGAGTGAAGCCTTTGTGTAGCTCCACCCGCGGAGGTGACGGCGCACATGTGCAGAACGCACGGCTGTAGGGTTTATGTTCTGCTGTAGGGTTTATGCTAAGCGTGCACGGGTTGATAATAACAAAAACAATGGCGGATAGCATTATGCTATGTTGTACTAATAACCGGTTCAGTTTAACAGGTTTCTGATAAGGAATAAAAGTGCTGCATGAGCTCTTCGCTCATAGGATTACGGGCATATTCATGTCTATGATTACGGGTTATTGTTTACAATGAGGCGGAAACTAAAGGTCAAAAGCGCCTGCGCATTCGATGACACTCGGAAAAATCACATCGCCATCTAGTGGCCTGACATGACACCTACAGCTGACTCGAGGTGTTTTGAAGATGGAGTTTTTTCTCCCCGTTAATATCCGACAAGACAGGCGGTTTCCGGGCAGTTTTCTCAGGTACATTTAAAGGCTGTTTGACCATCTATTAATATCCACCTCTACCATGGTGTGTGTTACCTGTGTCTGCTGTGGACCAGGCCAGTCGCTGCTCCTGTAACTCTGCTCTGCTATTCATCACTTCATCCCACTGCAAAATAAACACAGCAATCACTCTCTATGAATAAAAACAGTAAAAAAACAACAACCAAAAACCCCCTTGAACAAATCCCACACTTCTCAGAGATTACGTTTGTTTTGAAGTCTGAGATAAAATTACACCTGTATTATTTGTTTCTGTTCCACACTAATAAACACTGACAAAAATAAGAAAAAAAATCCTATTCTCACTTTTCTTCCTGCCACTTCTCTCATGGTGTGAGCCAGCTTCTCTTCCTCTGCCAGAGATTTTCTTTGAAGCTCTGCCAGCAGATTCCTCTTCCTCTCCTGCTCAGCTTCGACCTGCTGCAGGCGCCCCAGCACCTCTCTCTGCCAGTCCGACTCCAGGCCCAGCTGGTACGCCTCTGCCAGGGACTCCTCCAGGGCCTGTGTGAGAGTTTATGTCGCATGAACAGACGGTAAATATTGCAGAAACTTGGACCAAAACCCAAGTCATGATAACTGCTTAGTGCTTTCCTTGGACAACTGTTGTGAGGTGCTAAATTTCCAGCGGGGTGTGTCGCTGACCTGCGGGTTGCTCTCTGCGCCGTGCAGCTGCTCTGGGCCGGTCTCATCTGCTCTCTCTGCAGCTCTCATTTTCAGCTGCACCTCCTCTTCAAGCTCTCGTCCGACGCGCTCCTGCTTCTTCAGCAGGTCCTAAGCAGCAGCAATTATTTCAGGGTTTGTTCACCATTTTTTCTAATTCTAAATTAACCTAAAGTAAGAAAACTTCAGTCTGATTTAACTCCAGACCTTGAGAAAAAAAATATGTCTGTCTTTTTATTATGTGTATGAACATATCTGGTTTCAACTATAAATAACATTTTCCAAATTTAGGCTTCTAATCAAACGTTAGATTGCAGTTTATTACAAAACTGAGCAGTTTGGAAATCAAGCACTTTCCAAATCGTAAAAATACCTAATTGAAATTCAAGCGGTTTTAAGGATTTCAAGCACCTGTCCAAACCACGTAGAGAACCATTAATCTAAGTGTTTTTGTGACGTAAACGGCCCGTATGTTCCCCGTTAGGCCCAGGCGGCTCTCGTCACCTGCTCAAGCCGTTTCCTCTGCACCTCCAGCTCCATCTGTCTGACTTCTAGCTCCTGAACCGCTGCGGCCGTCTCTTGCTCCCGCTGATCCATCTGGGTCGAGATTCGAGGTTCATCATAAAAAAAAAAGAATAAAAAAAAAAGAAGCTCAACGTCGCAGGCATTACAGGTGCGACACTCGGACACAGAGGAGCTTACCTTCCTGCTGATCTCCTGGTCCAGCCTCTGTATCTGCGAGGCTTGGAGATCCTGTTGGTGCTTCAGGAAGCGTCTTCTAGTTGCGTCCAGCAGGTGTAGCTCCTTCACCTTCAGCTCTCTCTTCATCGCCGTCAGCCTAAACACCGTGGAAACTTTAATAACTAATGCTACGTTTCTTCTTTTGGTAGAAACAATGAACACGGGAGAGCGTCGTTGGATACTTTGTCCTCTGCTGTGCGAGCTTCTCCTCCTCTTGTGCCAGGATGTTTCTGCGCTGCTCCTCGGCTTTCTGAAGCAACTCCTATATTGAAATCGTTTAATAAATCGGATTATTTCAGGTGCTTAGCTTTCAAAAACAGGTGATTTGTATTAAAATCTGAACACTTTGACACAATACAGTCTTTTGCTTGTGAGGAAGTCTAGTAAATAAATCCACCTGCTGGGCGTAGTAGGCTTTCTCTTCAGCTTGGCGGCGCACAAAGTCGGCTCGCAGTGCCGACAACTCCTCCCTGAAGACGCCACAAAAGTCACTTTAGGTCTGAATAACAGACTAGAGACACAAACAATTAATCGACTTATGATTGATTGTCGATTAATGGTGAATTAATTCCAATAACGATCTCTTTGTCCATGTCCAAATGTTTTGCATCGGGGGCCAAAATTAGTTTTTTCCTCCTATCAATGACACAAAAAAAATATAAATGGATTTTTCTCCTTTATCTGTACAACAATAAATTAAAGAAGTTTAAAAACAACAGTATTAGAGTGACATTTGTCTAAATGTTTACAGGTATTTAACTTTTTGGGTCAATTAATTTCCACAAAATGTTTTTTTATGTTTGTGGCATGACAATGAAATGAAATAAAAGCAAAAAACCCCGAATAATTTTTTTTTTTAACATTTCTCATTTAAGATATAAACTTGGAAACAATGAGTATCCATCTGCACCGGCTCCTTGTGTCAGAGGCCAAATTTGAACATTTAAGCCCTTCCTGTAATGGAAAGACAGTCAAGAGTAAACTCCGGTAAAAAAAACCCCAAACTGTCACTTATTAATCATTAGTCGATCAACTTTAGATTAACTCGTTAATAGTTGACTTGCATCCTTAGCTCAGACAGGATAAAATAGTCCTAAAAAATGTAAACATACTAAATGTAACACAGATGAACAAAAGCAATCTTCAGGACAGAAGAAGGAAAAGAAAAAGGGTCCCTGTCCTCTGCTGGACAATGACCTTTTTTGCAGTTGGAAAACATAAAGATATGATTAACTCGCTCCGCTCACAGATGTCATTACATCATCATCATGCAGCTGCGATGATGCAGTTACATGTCTGCTATTGAGATTAGCTCGCCTTTCTTTGAGGTACTCCATCTCCTGCAGCCGTATTCGCTCCCTCTCCCTGCTTTGGAATTCCACTATGAATTCTGGGTACTGGTTGAAGATGGGGTACTGGCCGCTGGTGAGGGGCGTAAAGTCGGAGAGCAGGGTTCGGGGGTGGATGGCAGCCGGCGTGCTGCCAGTAATCCTGTAAGCCTCCTTTATCATCGCCCCAACGTCCAGGTTGTTACGATGGTGAAAAAAGTACTGAGGAAGAGGAAGGTACATTTGTGACAACAGATCGCAGTGGTGATTAAGACGGAGGGGCAAGAAAGCGTACCTCAAAGTCCTTCTTCTGGGAGCACAGCAGCAGAGGTTCCCGGCAGGAGATGATGTAGGCCACACAGGCCATCAGCAGGAAGGACGGGTGGTTGGAGAAGACGTTGTCAAACAGCCGGAGCCACTCGTCGCGCGTCAGAACCTCGGAGAACATGGTCTCCAACAGCGGCCACACGTACAGCTGGGACAGACAGAGAGACGGAGGACAGGGTTCTTAGAAGTGAGGATAAACCCGTTACTGTAAACGTGCAACTTCTAGTGTCGGACAAGTCTCCGGACATTCAGTATGTGAAGATTACAAACTTTACCAGAAGGAAAATTCAGAGTCGCTTGTGGCATATTTTGACAGAATGAATTAAGAAGA